AATTAAGGAAGATAATTAAGTTACAAATGGATGTGAGATAGCTGTAAATAGAATAAATTAGTTTTTGATTGGAGCAGTGTGGTTGTTGATACAATCCAACGATCAATAATAATTTGTGGCATACTTAATGTTTACCTCATATTTTTATTAATTATTATTATGTATAAGATTTTAGAAAAAAATAGTTTTACATATAGTAGTATAATAGATATAATAATTTTATTAGATTTTGCGTTATGCAAAATGATCAAAAAATTTAATTTTATCAATTGCATCTTAAAAGATAAAAATAATTAGAAGTTTAACATGAGAATAAATAAAACTGATTGTGAAGCCAAATAAAAAATTTATCGTAAATTGTTACAAATCCGAATTATAGTCTTTATATTAGAAAAACTATATAAAAAATTCGTAGAATACAAAATATTTCAAAAAGAAAAGATATCTTTAAAGCAAGATGAAAAGAAATGTTGAATAAAAGATTAAATTGTTGAATATTTAGATGTACAGTTTTAGAAATCTTCTGTAATTATTAGAAAGCTCTATAAGTAGTGAATCTTCTATTTCATTATTAATATCTCGTTTTTGAAACGAGGAAAGTATGACTATATCATTGTTCCGTTCAATGAGTCAAATAACTCATAAACAGACAGAGAACTCGCCTCACGCTTCGGCGAAGAACCTAATTCCGGTTTATTAATTCCAGTTAACACTATCCGACACAAGAGACGATCGTGTTCATTTTACAATAATTAAGCTGAAATTATAATTGATTTACTCAATTATGTGCATGTTTTCCGCGTCGTTTCTAGTAAAATTATTCTATAAAAAAATAAAAATTCCCGAAAATTTTTATATCGCACAAATTGAAAAATCGATAGAGATTTTATTATGTATTTTATTATAAATCTATTGATTTTATATTGATGAGAAACGATGTATTTTCCTACCAGATATAAATAAACTAGAAACAGCGGCAGAATCGAAAATCGAAAAGCGGTTAGCGTCGCTAGATATCCAATCATCGCAGGATATCGAGGGCATAGAAGCAGGTAGCACACCGTCGCTAATATGCAAGCTCAACGTGCCTGGTCAAGTCTGGTGGAGCACTGGCGGCAGGAATCTCACCACCATCAAGGATCTCGAGTACTCTGGACGATTCGATATAAAGAAGGCCAGCAGAAACGACACGGGCGACTATAAATGTTCCGCGCAGACCGCCGACGGCGATTCGCTCGAGAAAAACATTCATATCAGAGTGATAGGTATATAATGAATCTGTTAATTTAAATATCTTATCTTTTTCTTGTTTAAGATACATGTATTTTTTCGGATTTGGGCGTGTACTCTTATTGTTACGCAATAAAACAATCGTCGTTACGGTCTCCGTTAAAATATATTGTTTCTTTTAGAACCCGGCAAAATAACATCCGGCGGGGACGTGAGAGCGAAAGTGATGGAAACAGCCAACTTGACATGTCATATACATGGTTATCCATTATCTCAATTTACTTGGTTAAAAGGGAATGATTCAGAGAGCAGCGAGCACTTGAAGAATATCACTGCCGTCACGTGGATAAATGAGACTTATGCCATCTTAATCCTGGAGTTCAAGAGTCTGGCGCGTAAAGATAATGGCACGTACGTATGTCAGGCGAACGACTACAATGGAATAGTGAGTGCCATGGCACATTTGTTCGTCATCGATGTGCCTAAGGTCAGCATAGATTTCATGAAAGCGGTCGGCGCCGGAAATATATTTTTAAATTGGACCGTCAATGACGGTAACGAGCCGATCAACAAATACTTTATTCAGCATATGAAGAACGGTACAGATCAACGGCAGTACTACGCTGAGCAGATCGGCGGCGGTAATTCAAGTTATGTTCTCAAGGGATTCGAGAACGGCACAGCGTACCAATTCGGTATCAGTGCTATGAATGCAGTGGGCACATCGTATATGCAATTGGATCCGCGATGGATTACTACGCTTGAGAAAGGTACTTTAATAAAGAACAACGCGAATCCCTTTTCTCTCAGTCTATTATTCAGTATTTATATTGAAGCTTAATTTAGCTAATTTAATGAATTTATAAATTTAATTTGATAGCTCTCTTTCGAACATATACATTTAAAATATAATTTGATAATATTTTATCTAATATGGCATCAAAAATATATTACAGACCCAGTGTTTGTGCCAAAAGTGTCCGTGAACGGCGTGACAGAAAATTCGATCACGATAGGCTGGACTTTACCGCCGTCAGATTTAAAGGAACACGTGCATTATTATAATTTGATGGCTACTCACGCCGAGCAGAAAAGAGAAGCGGTGTATCCTGCTCAACCGTTCACCGTGTACGCTTTCGTGAATCTCGATCCGGCGACCACGTATAAATTCAAGATAGCCGCCTGCAGCGAGTACACGAAGCAATGCGGCAATTGGAGTATTGAAGTAAATGGCACTACACTGGATGGAGGTATTATTTTTTAAAGAAAAATATATTTTAAGCTAAGCGCTGCAAAATCGTTTAAATGCGTTCTTTGCTCTTCTTTAGTGGCCAGTCCTCCGAAAAACCTCGTCGTTGTTTGCCGCTATGACAATATAAGCAGCTCCAGTTTTATGTCCATTACGTGGAAACCTCCGGAGAAGCCGAACGGCATTATACAGCGTTACAACATACAATTGAACGGCGTGGCGAAATTCAAAAATGATATAGGACGTCTGGACATTGATAGTTTTGAACCACCCAGTTGGAGCGTCTACAAGAGGAACAGCACACGATACAATCAAATACCTCCCAATACAAATTATACGGTATATAGTCTAATTATCTGATTTTAACTTGAAATTTTAAAATAAAATATTATACAAGTTTTTTTTATAATAAACGATTGAAGGTTCGGGTACACGGAGTGACTAGGTCTCGCACTCCTGGCAAGGACGCTGTAGGAAATTGCACGACGCCGGTCACAGTTCCAGATCGCGACAGCATGAACTTGCGCAGCTGGCGGAAAATCGAAAGTCAGACTCGACAGTTGTTCAAACTCTATCTACCGCGCATTTCTGAGCGGAATGGCCCTATCTGTTGCTATCGCATCTACATGGTGAAACTGCCGCCGCAGAAAACGGTCCGTGATCTGCCGTCACCCGAAGAGACCCAGGTGTATTCTTATCAGTATGTGCACAGTTCGCCGACCGGCGGTGCTTATATCGTCGAGACATTCGAAAGCGATCAGTTGTTGAGTGAAATTTTCCTTGGCGACGGTGAATCATCCATCGGCGGCACGATGTGCGACAAGTGCGTTGGTTTGCGACCCAAACCGGCGCCACCGTTGTTACACTTTGTCCCGGAGATTCCGTCGACTACCGCCTCGACCAACGTGAACAGCACTACCACCATCACTACAACAACTACGTTGTCACCAACGACAACTGCGAGCAGTAGCAGTAGCGGCAGCATGATTGACAGCTCATCTACCATGTCGGCGACGACTACTATCAGCACTGCAAAAATAAACGTAACTACGGCAATTCCGGTGGTTATTAATGCAACCGAAAAAGCGGAGAGACGGAAAAGAGAGGACTTGCCCGTTCAAAAGGCGTCTGTGGACGGATCCAGCGGGGAATCCAACATGTTATTGCCTTTCGATGGCTTTCTTGACGAAACGTCGAATTATACCGGTTTTATCGAAGTTATCGGTGCGTATCGTCGATAGATTCGCGCAGAATACATATCATAAAATAAAGTTACTAGTTTAATAATACATTTGATGATATTTTTACAGTGTACGATAATCAGAGGGATCAATTTCTATCGGCTTACAGCAGCTATTTCAATCCTCTCTACGGTGGAGTGGATCCTCTCAGCGTAACAGCCGCGGAGGCGACTACTATCAGAGAAATGATAATACAACTCTTCATTGCTCTCATCTTGACCCTTATGATTCTATTTATCGCACTTTGCATACTATATAGATTTACAAAACGTTCGCAAGAAAGGGAGGAGGTTATAACGCTGCGCAATAGTTTTAGGTGAGTGCTAATAAAAAAGCAAAATATTTTTTCAATTAGAAGTTTTTACCTCTTAATAAACAAAAATTGTGCAATGCATCCTGTAAATTTTGATGAAATATTTTATATTACATAGATTTTAATAATATAATAGATTGTACTTTTATAGTAGATGTTTCTTGTTGAAATAAAATTACATAAATAAAATATAGAAAGATATATAATACTATATATAACAATAAAAGTTATTATAAAGTTATACACATCTCTTAACAATTATTAATATTGTCAAATGCTTTCCAAGAAAATATAGCAATATTCATTTAATGAATGCCTTTTTCCTATAGACATCTCTGTAGAAGCCTGAGAAGCAGACATCAGCTTGTGGCAGCGAGTCCGCCGGACATGCCGCCAATACCCAAGAGTGAGTTGTTGCAGGCATATTTGGAACGCCATCGAGACTCAGATTACGGTTTCCAACACGAATTCGAACTATTACCAGACCGATTTACGGATAGGACGACGCGCGCATCCGAGGCACAGGAGAATCTCTACAAGAATCGTTATCCAGACATCAAGTGTTACGATCAAACGAGGGTGCGTCTGGCGCAGATGGACGGTATCTGCGGCTCTGATTATATCAACGCCAACTTTGTGCTGGGTTATAAAGAGCGGAAGAAATTTATCTGCGCCCAAGGCCCGATGGAGAACACCGTATGCGATTACTGGCGCATGATCTGGGAACAGCATCTCGAGCTGATACTCATGCTAACAAATCTTGAGGAGTACTCGAAGACAAAATGCGCCAAGTATTGGCCAGACAAGCGTGAGACTAAGAACTTTGGCGACATCACGGTAGAGCATGTCAAAGAGCGTGCCTACTCAGACTATGTGGTGCGCGAGCTAAAGATGACACGACTAGGCGAGCGCGATGCCCGCGCGATCGTGCAGTATCATTTCCTCGTGTGGAAGGACTTTGTTGCGCCCGAGCATCCGCACGCGATTCTTCGTTTCATCAAACGCGTCAACGAAGCATATTCGCTCGAGAAAGGACCGATATTGGTACATTGCAGTGCCGGTGTGGGCCGGACCGGCACACTCGTGGCATTGGATTCTCTGTTGCAACAGCTGGCTGAGGAAAGCCAAGTGTCCATTTTCAACACTGTGTGCGATCTGCGGCACCAGCGTAACTTTCTCGTGCAATCCCTTAAGCAGTACATTTTTATCTATCGTGCGCTTATGGAAATGGCGCAGTACGGTGATACGGAAATCCCGGCATCGCAGCTTAAGGCTACAGTCGCTAAACTTAGGCAACGAGATAATGGCAAGGAGAAATGTAGAATGGAAGAGGAATACGATGTAAGTTACTATACAAGTCACACGAAATTTGAAGGCTTTAAATAAAAACGCACGATTAAATATATTAAAAAATTATAAAATATACAATTTTAACAATTTATATAATATTTATTTGGATATTATATATGTTATGGTTATATTACTTGAAATTTTATTTGAGATATTTTGCAGTTGTTAACAATCTTTTTGACATTCTATACATATAAAATATAGAAACCGACATATAGGATAACTCAATGTGTGCCGCTTTAGTTTTGAATTCTCTTAATACAATTTCATCGAAAAAAAAGTTTTTCTCGCATTACATAATATATACAATTATTGTTTGCAGAAAATCAGTTCCGTATTGGAAGATCGTAAGTCTTTCTCCGTTGGCGGCGGAGAGGAGAATAGATCGAAGAACAGAAGCGAATTGGTGATACCATATGATAGAAATCGCGTGATTCTCACCCCAGTCCCAGGCAGGGAACATTCGACGTACATTAACGCATCATTCATCGAAGGTTACGATAATTCCGAGTCGTTTGTCATTACACAGGATCCACTAGAAACCACTATAACAGATTTTTGGCGAATGATCTCGGAACAATGCATTTCTACGATAGTCATGTTATCTGATGTAAGTTTATATTATATGCTTTATTTTTGTCTTTATTTTTTTGGTTGTATTTAACAAAAAGTTGCATTCTTAGATTCACCTAGTCTTTGCAAAAAGTTATATAAATATATGAATATTGCGTTAATATAATATATTTGGTACGCAGTTTCATATATAGAAAAAGTTTTTAAGAAATTAATGCACGATATACTTTTCTCTATAAAATTTTTGTTTGTAATAAAATATTTTGTCATGTGTTGCTCTGAATAGAATATCTAAATAATTGATGCAGTACAATTCTTCAGTAAGCGATTAATTTCTTGTTAAAATTAAGATTTCTGAAATATTATTACTATAATGATATAAAAGATATAAAATTTTACATAATCGGGTGAGAAAGGCATCAGAGTCCCCGATCTAATATATAATATAGAATCTAGCCATAAATATATATTTTCCTAGAAAAAGAATTAAATTTGAAATTAAAGATTGTAAGATCATATCATCCAAGTGAATATAAAATATATGTAAGAGGACTAATATCTTTTTCAGTTAAATGAAGGCCCACGAAAATGTCCACGCTACTGGCCAGACGATGAGACTAATTACGATCACATAAAAGTCCGTTACATACACAGCGAAAGTTGTCCGTACTACACGCGTCGCGAATTTAACATTGTGAATACTAAGACTGACGAAAACGGAGTCGTGAAGCAGTATCAGTACCACGGCTGGCCGACGGTGGAGGGCGAAGTACCTGAAGTAACGCGCGGTCTTATCGAGTTGGTGGATCAGACGTTAACGAGTGACACCGAGACAAACGGTTCATTGGTAGTGCACTGCAGCTACGGATCAGATCGGAGTTCCATGTTCGTTGCGCTCAGTATATTAGTCCAGCAGTTGCGCACCGAGAAGCGCGTGGATATCTTCACGACGACAAAGAAATTGCGCTCTCAGCGACACGGCATGATCAGCACCTTCGTAAGTAACTCGATAATGATTTTTCTTTCTCTTTCATAATTAAGAAATTTATCTATAGAAGAACCAGTAAAGAATTACAGGTTACAGATTTGAGAATGATTGTAATTAAATATCACATATTATAATTCTGTTTTTCATAACGTTTATTATTGCACATGTTACAGGCACAATACGAGTTTCTTCATCGCGCCATCGTGAATTATTCGGATCTTCACAATTTGGCTGACGACGAATCTGTGTCATAATATTTGGATACATAAGCATAAGCAAGATTAGATTATTCTAAATACTCTGTTTTGGGCGGACATGTGCGTGAGGACGAGTTTTGTGACGAGTGTCCGAGAATCCACGAACGTTCGAACAAACGTACTGCCCTAACCAAAGATGAACAAGTACTCGATGAAGAATCATTGACATTATTATCATCATTATCCTCGTCATCATCATCGCCATTAAATCAGGCTAATTGCGACGCACAACACAGATTCACATGCGAATCTAAAGACTACTTGTACATAATGCATCAGCAGACTTTACATATGCTGATCATAAGTTAACTTCAGAAGAGAGAAATTGGAAGAGCATTAATCGGAGATTAACTGGAAATCGTTTTATCGTCCGTCTTATCGTACGTGGATTTTCGATGACGTTGGTGAAAATCGCAAAGTGCAGTGCGTGACAACATCATGAAACCGTTATAGAAGCTTATTTTTATCAATAGTTTAATAATTCAATCAGAGCGTAATGTATCTACAGTGCGTCAAAGTTTTAAAATCGTGACCCGACATTCTCATCGGAATTGTCATGATGATTGTACAGCGAGGGATTGACACAAAAATGGACGAATATAGGTATGTCTACGCATATACATTCTTTTGATAGATATATGACGCAGCTAGAGCTCTGAACCGTTTTACTCTCGCGAATCACAACTAAAATAAAACGACGATACACCTCGATGTCGCGATTAATCGCGCAATTCGAGAACCGGCTAAAATTTCTCCGAGATTTCCATTAACGCGAAATGTTATCTTAGCGTCTGCTACAGAACATTTTCCTTCAAAGTAAGCGAAACGAAGCTAAGTAAAATACAATTACCTTCGTTTACCGCAAAAACTTCGAGAAGAAATGTTTCCTGTCATAATGAGTAATATTAATGAAATTACGCGCGTGTTGCGTAGATTTATATGTTCTTCAACGATATATGCGTTATTATTATTACGATGTATTACGCATATCAGGCGTATGCTGATTTATCTTCTAAAAGGAAAGACTGATAGTCTTATTCAGTTTGAAATACGACACCTTTAAGGCACGTATCTCGTTTGCACAACATTGAGATTTCGCTGTGAATCGTAATATTGTGACTATAAAGGGGCGAGAGTGAATGACAAAAAATGTTCTTTTTTTTCTTTTTACTTTTTATTTCTTGGGGAAAAGTTTATTACATATATACATGTATGTGATATGCTTTTTTTGCGTGTGACGAGACACAATCCGAGAAAAAATGGATATAAGATCATATATATTGCCATTATGATCTCATATAATTACATAAGTCTATTTTTTCTCAGAAAGGGCTATGTTCGTGACACAAGTTGAAAGCTAAACGGGCTGGGCAAAATATATCGTAGTTTTATCCTAAATGCAAAATACAAATTGTAAAATATTTTATAAGATATATTTCGAAAACGAGATACAAAAGTGATTCAACATACATGATATTTGAAAATTTGATTTAGAATAAGAAAAACGATATTTTATATATATTCAATAATTAGCGCAATATTCGCGAATCGCCCGGCCCTGCGAGAAGAGACGACGGCGGAAAAAAATTGGCGATGTCGATATTTTTATGAAAAAAAAAAATTAAATTTCAGATTAAAAGCAGAGAAGGATAGAATTATGCGTTTAATTCCTTCGCACGTTCGTTCAGTTCTAGTCAAGTTTAAACTCCAGCACGTGCGTTGCTAAGCCATAACCTTTTGCAAGAAGCAGAAGACAATCATGTTAATTACGATTCGCATCGCGTCGTCCGATTATTTCCTTTTTCTTTCCTTCTTCACAGGTATTATTCTCATTCCATTTTAATCGGACGCTCTCCGATAAGAGACACGAAATGTTATAAGTCTATAATTTCGTCTCGAAATTGAAATCACATTTCGATTGTACGAGAAGTAAAATAATTATGTAAAATAGTTAAGTAATAATTTAAAAAGTTATTCTTTTTTTAAACAAGAGAGAGTTAAAAATAAAAAAATATTAAAATAATTAAATTAAACAATTATGAATTATAATATTTTCTCCCAAAATCTTACAAGGAAGGAAAAACGAAATTGGCAATCAACTAAAATTAAAGTGCAAACAAGTTTTATATACGTATAT